TTAGACAGATTTAATAAATTAATTAATTAAATTATAAAATATGTATTTTTTAAAAAATTAAAAGACAAAAAAAAAGTGTTAAAAAATGTTAAAGGACAAAATTTGTACAAAATCTTAAAATTAAGGGTAAAAATTAACAATAAACCTAATCTTAAACATAGTCACACGTATGGCAATAATTACACCCTTAGGATTTTGTGTACATGTCCACTCCCAAAACGAATCCCAGTTAAAAAGCCCTTGTTGTGGGACTTCTCCTTTGACTTTCTCCTAATTTGAAATCTGATTTTCATTGCCTTTACCAGTACCAGAGATGACCTCCTCCTCCCTTTCTCTCACATTTTCGCCGAAGGATCTCTACCCTTCACATGAACAACAAAGTCAATATGTGGGGGAATTAATAGGCCATTAACAAAGGGGGTCTAGGTGATAAAAGTAAGAAAATTAGAAAGTCCTCATTTCATAATTCATACTACATATATAATATGATTGGCACAATAAAAAAATTAATTAATTAAATGAAGCCGGTACAGCCTGCAAAATTTTCTAACTTAGTTTGCCAACCATTTGAGAAAACTGAAAACACACAAAACACCGCTTTCAGAGTCAATGCAGATGACGACCCTTGTCCATTCTTTTCTTTCCTATTTTATTTTATCAGTATATAAAATACCCACTTAGATATTTTCCATAAATTATGAGTATTATATGTTATGGTCTATTAATAATAATTATTAAATGAGAAATGTTACTCTCATCTAATATTAGAGAATTCACTTTAATTTTATAATTTATTATATTGTATAATTTATTGTGATTTAAATTATCTAATACTTCTTTTGTTAAATTATTTACTTTTCTTTGTTTTCCTTTTCTTCTTGAGTTTAACTTAAGAAATATATCGTTGTCAAGTTGTTACTTTGATAGAGAAATGAAGACCTTCTCTATGCTTCTAATTTTAAACTTTGAAGATTCCATCCAGCAGAGGATGAGACAGGGGGAAAAAGATTCATTTTCTAGATGGTTCACTCCATAATTGTACTTTCAATGATAACTTAATTGTGGCAAAAAGGAAATTTCTTTTACAGTTTAGTTTTAACAGGTACAAATTTGGGTTAGGTTTATGCAATCATATGCTTTATCCTGTAATTAGTTGGTGTCTCTTTGTAAGGCATATATACCTATGCATCCAAACAAACCAATAAAAACATTTTTAAAGTTATACTCGTTTTAATAGACTAATTTATATGAAAATAAAATATGACAAGAAATTATGAAAGCTCAAAGCGATAATGAATTGATGCTTCCATGATTTATGAGTGTTAATTAAGATTATTGGTGATTAGGTATTCAATGCTCCGAATTCAAATTATATATCTACATTTACCATTGATCTAAGTAGCTTCCAACCACACATTTTTTATAAATGTATATACTTCTTACTAACTAAATTACATGAAGATAAAAAAAAGTGTGTGTGTGTTTTTTTCATAATATATTTGAATTGAACGGAATAGAGGGAGAGGATAGAAAAAAATTATTTATTTAGTTATCAAAAAACTCAAAAATGA